AAAAAAATTATTACAGTATAACACATGTAAGTCGCAGAAATAAAAAGTGTCATACTAACTATATAATAATATATATATTTTTATAAAAGGTATTTAGAGCATCTCCAAGAGCCTCCCTATTTCTCTTTTTTATCTCAAAAATAGAGATTTTCTCTCAAAAACTGTCTCCAACAGTTCCCCTAAACTTGGTCCTATTTTTAAGGTGACCTCAAATAGAGGCTTCTCTTCCTCATTTCTGGGGAGGGATAAACGACCCCCCATTTCAAATAATAATAATAATAATAATAATAATAATAATAATAATAATAATAATAATAATAATAATAATAATAATAATTTAAAAAGAAATAATATTATATTAATACATGAAAAAATATAACAAATAATTAATAATAAATTACTAATAATAATAATTAAAATTAAAAAATTAAAAAAATAAAAATTGTTCAAAAAAATAATTTATTTGATTAAAAATTAATAAATTATAATAACAATTAGTATAATAATAATAATAATCTAAAAATAAATCATATTAAATTAATAAAGGAAAAATTATAAAAAATAATTAATAATAAATTACTAATTATAATAATTAAAAAAATTAGTGAATATTATAAAATTAGTTAATTACTATTATAATCGTTAACAATTACAATATCAAGTGGACTTCAAGTGGGCTTTTAGATAGATTTGTGGGCCTGGTTCATATTCAAATTATAAAATAGGGAGACTCTTGGAGAACAACAGAAAATAAGAAGCAAATGGATATAGGATGACTCCTTATTTTTCCAAATAAGAAGTCTAAAATAAGAAGTCTCTTGGAGATGCTTATATCATTGCTCTTATTACTTTTTTTATTACTTTTTGATAAATGCTATGTTGCGCAACTTAGTGTACAACTAGGTTGACAACACAAGAAAAAAATCTATAAAAAATAAAAATAGAAAAATAATAAGTGAATATCTCCATTTGCGTTGTCAACATAGTCGTACACTAGGTTGGCTAGTATCATTCTTTTTTTTATTTTTTTTTATTGTAATATAATTTCTCATTTGAAATAATAATAAAAAAACGCGTACCGTTTTCTCTCACACACTGAATGTGTAGTTTAATATATTTTTATATCCCTAATTTACCCCTACCCTTTCTTCATCATCATCTCCGTTTTGATTCCCACTTCCTCCCCCTTTTCTTCTTTTTTTCTCCCTTTTTTTTTATCTTCTCTATGAAAATGACAACTCCAGCTTTGAAGCACAATTTATTGCCTCCGGGACTGGTCTCCAATCTTCAGCAGGTCCTATCTAGCCGCAGCAAGCCCGCCGGCGACGGCGTTGCGCCCAAACCCGACACAGGGGACGATAACTCGGCCCCGAGATCGTCTTCGGTGGTCGATCCCGGTGGCGCGATTGATTCCAGGCCTATAATTTTGGTTACGAGCAGTGATGGGATTGAGTCGCCTGGGCTTTCGTGCTTGGTTGATGCTCTCGTTCGCGAAGGCGCTTACAATGTCCACGTCGTTGCCCCTCAATCGTAATGATTTTCCTTATCGTTCATTTGATGTGTTTGTGTGGGCAGTGATTTGGTTCAGCATTCGTGTGCCTATCAGTCTCAGTGCTTCTTTACTATTGATTTCTGATAATTTGCTGCGTTTTTGTAGCTGCTGTGTGGAAATTTTGTTAATGGATTTCATTTATGTCTTTATTGGATTTTGAGTGTTTGAGGCTGAGGGAGACTCCAGAAATGGTGCCTTCAAAATTTGATGTTTATATATTTTCAACGACGAGTATACATACACAAGTTCGATAACGAATTCAGGCGAGGTGTATATTAACGTGTGAAAGTTATTGAAAAGTTGCCCAAAAATGAGGGGCCGATTGCTCAATGTGGTTTATGTCGAAACGCAGCTGTTTGTTATGTTGCGATCTGATTTGTTATATCCACGCACGTGTTCTGTTATGAGTTTGGTGGATATTCTTCTATTTTTGAGCTCAAGTCTTGCATCATGTACATGTTTGAGATTTCTTGTGTGTTGTGGGGATTTTTCTGATTTATTTTGATTGTGATATGGCAGGGACAAGTCTATGTCGGGGCATTCAGTGTCGTTGAAGGAAACAGTCGAGGTGGTTTCAGCTGAATTTAGTGGTGCCATTGCTTATGAAATTTCCGGTATTTTTCGGAAGCTTCTTTGTTGTGCATGTTTGTTCTGTTAACTGTGAAACTTAAATGATTTTGTATTTGAGGAATTGTTGGCACTGTGATACTTCTATTCTTACTTCCTGGCACTGGCCGAACGTGAAACAAATGTTTTCCGGATGTAATATTCAGGAACACCAGTAGATTGTGTGTCGTTAGCATTGTCTGGTGCACTGTTTTCATGGTCGAAGCCTCTATTGGTATGCTTTATAATGTCTCCAAGAAGTGGATATTTTCGCCTTTGATATTTGCTTTATCTCTTTGAAGATGTTATCTCTTCATTTCTTATACTCTTAGATACTCTTTTGCTGGGTGTATATAGGTAATAAGTGGTATCAACAAAGGCTCAAGCTGTGGCCACCATATGTTAGTTGCTTTCGTCCTTTTGTCTTTCTGATCTGTTACCTATATGAACTTAATCATTTTGGGTATCAAATAGTTCATGGAGAGCACTATACTTACAGAGACATTGAATTTAGGTTTTATTCGGGTGTCATTGGTGGAGCCAGGGAAGCCCTAATAAATGGCGTGCCATCAATAGCTATATCACTAGACTGGTCCGTGTCTTGTCAATGAAATATTTTAACAAGCGTAGTATACAACTGCACGGTTGATAACTTTTTTATCTTATCTTTTATCACAGGAAAAAGGATGAAAGTCAAGTAAGTGACTTCAAGGACGCTGTTACTGTGTGTTTACCAATCATAAATGCAGCCACTAGAGATATAGAGAAGGGGGCTTTCCCCAAAGGTTTCTCGTTGGATATAGAAGTCCCAGTGTCACCCTTGGCCAACAAGGTTTCATGTTTTTCATTTCTTTTTTCTTGTGATAGTGGTCCTTTATTGTCTGAAACATAATTATTAAATGAGTACGAAACCTGAGGCCCATGATTTGTTGAAGTACTATGAGGTGATAGATGTTTATGAAAATATGTTTGGAGTTTCTTGATCATGCCCCATCTAATAGGGTTGTAGCATGGTTTTAAAAATAGTTAGGTTTAGATAGTTATTGTCCTAACCCATCCTTATATTTTGACATTAGACTACACATCGGCCTTCTTCAGACAGTGGACCAATGGAAGTTAGCTGTTACATGAGTCAGCCTGCATTATATGGTTGCTTAGATATTTAAGAAAATGTTATCTTGAATGTGGGTAATTATATATCATTCAACTAGGTTTAGACCAATTTTGTCTGGCTTTGATACTGTCAAACTTGTCTTCTCATTATTTGTTGATGGTGAGTGGCTATTGTTATGGATTACATTGATAAGAGCCTTTTTTATTATTTCATGTTTTTTCTGCAACATACTTCAACAGGGAATAAAGATTACAAAGAGAAGCTGTTGGAGGTCCACTCTTTGCTGGCAAGCCATTTCGGGCACTAGGAATCTAGCCGCTGCACGTTTTGGGGGCGGTCAGCCAGGCATTGGCTTGCAGTTTGCCCAGCTTGGTCGTGATGCATCTGCTGCTGTGTGTTACTGAAATAGTTTTCCTTTACTTAGTTATTATTGATTTATTTGGAGAAAAAAGATTGTTGTTTAGAGGCCGGCCATCTTACAGTTCAGATTCTCATTCTTTTCACATTTTATTTTCAGGGTGCCGCTCGACGTTTGGCTACTCAAAAGAAGAATATTGAGGTTGTTGAATCAGTCGGGGTTGTTGGGAGATCTGATTTTAAAAGGACAACCAAGTATTTCCGTGCAGAGGTCATTATTCTTCGAATACATTACAATACATTGCTTTCATATTCATTTTCCTGTCGTTCTTTTCTTAGCTTTCAAGTATTTCCTGGGGATGCAAAAAAGTATGCGTGCTTTTTTATTTAACTACATTTTTTTTTTCCAATCCTTTTGTCGACTTTGACTTTGCTCAGACTATAATGTGGAACGTAAATACTAAATACATTATTTTTTTTCTTGTCATTCTACTCTATTGGTCTCATTTTATCCTTTTTCTAATTCGGTTAGTACATCATTCGTTTTCCTTTTCTCTTTTATCACATTAGAATTGTCACTTGATTGTCTTGATGAATGATCTAACAAGACGAGTTAATTGGCCAGATGCTTGACAAGGAACAAGATGAAGATGATGAGGATCTCGATTTTAGAGCTCTTGAAAATGGCTTTGTAAGTTTCTTACACAAAGTTCCTGTATTTTCTTTTTCCCTTGAACTATGATAATAATGTCGTCGGTGATGATTTTTGTATATTGAAACAGGTCTCAGTTACTCCATTCTCAGTGATAGATTCAGAGGTTGAGACCGCAGCTTTGAATTGGATTTCGACTTTTCTGTCAACTGAAAACTAAGAGCGAACATGCTGCAGATAGAATGAGTAATTAATCTGTACATTATTGCAATTGAAAGCTGCAAAAGCTTGGTAATTCCCTCAACATTTTTCTTTTTGTGCTCGTGAGGCCGTGTTTTTTAGATATATTCACCTGAAATTCCTGCTATTTAGTTTCAACCTATGTTCTTACCGTGTGCTGAAGCAAATGCTTCGCCTATTAACTTATGTTTTGAGCAATGTGTAGATTTTGCCTGATATTAATATTTTTTTTTTAACACCTATTTTTTTTTTGTTTTATTTTTTTCTCCATTAAGTTTTGTGGTTTGGTTGGTTGTATTTTTACTGGTGTAATGACTAATATATTTTTTGCCAGCGTTTATTACGCTGAAAGTTTGATTTAGTTTTTGATTTGTAATGTTTTTGGCTTTGAGTTATATTCTTCAAAGACCATTTGAATGAGTGCAGGGACGAGTTGTCTTTTGATCAAAGACCATTTGAAAGTTGAGCCCATCAATGTTAATCAATACCTAAGAAAGGTATTGCGTTGGGATGACCTAACCATTAGACCGACATACTATTATTATAAATATACGTACTTTTATTATAAAATGTCATAATTTAAAAAGTAACGTTAACAAAAGCATGACAATTGATATTGTAAATATGCACTTTTATTAAAAGAGGATGATGGCTCGACCCGTCTATTAGTTAAGCTGCTTCACACCATTTATCAAGAAGGCAAAATGAAGTTACTTGATTGTTCATCAGTTTCTATCAAATACTTATTACTATCTTCTCATACAATTTGTTATACGTTGTCCGCTATTAACCAATACTATAAGTTAATATTAATATTAAATAATTAAAAATTTGAAAATTTTATCCTATATAACACTATCAATTTACTTTACGAGATTACTTTCTCAGAGCTACGACCCACTCGTTTTTGCCCAAATTTAGATGTTAGTAAACATTATATAAGTTAGATTATATATTATTTTGTTAGCTTATAAACTTTATGTATTCAAATAAACTTAGTTTGCTAGAATTTTTTTTTCTTTTTTTTTTTAAAGAAATTGAGCTTATCTCATATGCTTCATTGAATAGTTTTCTAAGTAAACATTGTTGAAATATTTATATTTCAATGACTTATTAGCAAATCTTTCCAATCACTTTAATTTAAGTTAACTTTACACTATCAATTATATATTTGAAATTTAATTATAAGCTATTAAGTAACTAGCTTTAACCCTTTAACAAACATAATAAGTGGGCAACTCACTCCACTCCATGTTCTAAATCCATTGACCCGATCCCTTAACCCGATTCGAAATAACAGGCACTAAAACACTGTCGCTCTCGAAATCTTCAGATGCATAATGCGACGCCGGTCGTCGAGTAGCTCCAAGCCTTTGCCTGTCAAACGGTATGATACATTGCTTTCTTTAATCTCTGCTTCTGGAATTGGGATTATTGACTGGTTGATTGTGGCTTCGTACATTACTGCTGGCTTGTTTTGAATATGTAGTTAGTTTTAACTGTATCGGTTGTGTATTCTGTAGATTGTTGGTTAGCTAGGGTTTTTGCCTCAACATTTTGCACAACTCTGTTCGTCCAATTTCATGTGAAATGAAGGAAATTTATGGAGAATTGATTTTGATTTTGCTATCGGAATTCTTAATGGTTGTTTATGGATTGGGAAATGTGGTTCTAATTTTTAGGTTTTGAAATACTGAGTGCTGCCTGCAAATTTGAGGATGCGATTCGATATGATTTTTTTTTTTTTTTTTTTTTCGTGCAAAAATAGAGAGAAAAAAAAGAGGAAAAACTTGTTTTTGGAAAAATTGAGATTGTTTTGGAGATTTTGATGTATATGAGATCAAAATGTAATGATTAGTTGATGATATAAATTGTAAAATATCAATTTGTAGTGATTGAAAATGAGGAATATGTTGGAGGTGCAAAAATGTTGGAGGTGCAAAAAATGTTTTTTCGTTGGAAAATATATTATAATGTTTGATTTTTATTTTTTAGTTGTGTTATTGGAATTGTATTATTTTTTTTTTAAATGAGATGAAATTGATTTTTTTTTTTTTTATATTCCAATACATATCTCAACGAGATAAATCTGACGGGGCCGAAATTGAACAATTCTATATCCAATCTCTACCTCAGAGCACTTGGAGCTGATTATAATGAGCTCCCTGTATCTCTCTCTATGTATATGTTTCTTTAAATTTATGTATATAAAATGGCTGCTGGCTTGACTCCATAAGGCATGTAGCCTCAAGTGGATAGTGTAACCACTGGAGCAGTTTTGATACTTTGTAGAGTGAGGGGTGCATTCAAGGCTTTTCTCGGAATAGATTTAATACACTGTTGAGCTAGCAACTCATGCTTTATTTGCAATGCATTTATGTGATTTACTCGTGTGCATGTCGTGGATGGGTGTGGTTCCATTATCGCCTTGAGTAAGTGGACTCTGAGTCTGATCAATTCTTTGTATTTTTTATTTTTAATTCTTGGGACGTTGAAATTATAGTTGAAATGCTTTGTAATATGTGAAAAAGTACTTTGCTATCGTCCGGTGGAACTGGTATCTGATGATTATAGATATTGGCTAATATGTGGTTCAAAATTCACTGACCCAGTGTTTAATTTATCAATAGACATAATAGGAACATATAAAAATGATAATATTTTTTCAGAATAAATGTTTTATTTGTAAGAATGGTATGTCCCTGAAACCTGATTATACGCTGGTCATACCATACTGATCCACAAAAGGCAGCAATAGAAGGTAACTGCCTCGTTCTCTGATTATGGTTTTTACGCAATTATTCTTCAGTCAAGACACGCGCTCATTTGTATGTCGCTATTTGATTCAAGAGTTATTTTATGAAGTTATGTGGATCCACTATATAGAATCTTTCGACCGTTTATATTTACTTTTTTGATTCATGTGATATAAGTTCATTTGGCTGACCATTGTCATCATGTGTAGGCTCCAAAATTGCCAAATAGTTCATGGACATGGATTGTGCTAAAGTTAATATGTTAAAGCGGAAGTGCATCTTGGCGTATCTGTAACTGTTTTCTTGTGCTTTCGGTATTTATCAACAACCTATTATCGTTATAAACATTTTAAATATTATTAGATTGAGCTTCTAAAAGTCTCCAAAAGGCTGTCACTAGAAGATTGTCCGAACATGGAGAAGGATTTGCCAAGCGTCAACTTTATCATGTATCCTGTCGGTCGGTGGATTTTTACAGTGAGTTGATTTTTCAAAGTTCATCTGTCAATAGATACCATTGTTGGATACCAACCTGTAGCTGGGTCGAGGCCTACACAACTCTGTATACACGTCAGCATGCACAATTTATATGTTGTGTCAGCCTATCAGGATTGCTTCTCTGTTCTCGGGATAAGAATATATGTGCCATTGGCTCCCAAATGACATACCCATTGGGCCTTAGCTACTGTTGGTAACGACATCACTCGTTACTGATTCGTTTTGTCATTTCTTGGCTACTATTGGGTATGATATGTACTTAACTGTTTTTTTTTTTTTCGAAGCGTACTTATTTGAACATCAGCCGGGAAAGGACAAGTTCATTCTTAGGCCTCTCTGTCTCTCCCTCACACACACACATGCGCGCGCGCGTATGCACGTGCATGTATCAATCACTGGAAATTGTGCTTGGCAATGAGCATGCATGTAGGTAGATTTGTGTATTAGTTGGAACTCATTATTCCGTGTATTTTTATTTTTATTTTTTTAAAGAAAAAAATTGGCATCATAGATTGTTTGTATCCTGAATGTAGCGCCTGGGCGTTTCTTGCCCTTGGCGCGACTTCACAATGAGCTAAGTTAAGTCATAGGATAAAATGAAGGACAAGATAAATAGTACATTTCACCATAGAAACTCTTTATTTTGGTTTGTGGAACATGCACATTGCATATATATGTGAATGGTGCTACTTAAATATGCTTAATTTCCGGCTCGATCTTCCGTATTATCATGAGCATCATCTATATCATTCTATTCCTGCTGTTCGGGATGGAAAAGAAACAAAGAGCAGTCGAAGAGTAACTGTTTGAAAATATCACGAGTGTTTAGTCTGGTCTAGTATCACAGCCAAAAAGGTAAAGAAAAAATGGAAGCAGCTAGCAAAAATTGGCTGGTGAAGGTTATGGACAAGCTAATATGTCTTTGCCAAGTCGGTGTTGAACTACGCATTTTAGGATTTCAATCTCTTTTTCGTGGAAGAATTCCTTAAATTAACTTTCTGTTCATTGTGGATCAATACTGTCTTGTAAAGGCTGTAATTGCTGGAAAAAGGAAAAGAAACTGGATATTTACATTTTTCTTCGGTGGTTTTTTCGTTCAACGTTTTCTTTCGTTATTTCTTCTCCTCTCTTCCCAAAATGCCTGCTCTAGTTAAATTAAAAGATCATCTATTCACTATGGTGTTTCGTATAATATATTTCGAAATTTGTGTGATCGTGAGTGTATATAGATAAATGGTAATGACTTGATTATTTACAGGACCATTTGACCCTATCGGGTATGTGTTTGTCTCTCCAATAGTTGGGTAGAGTGAAATATATTCAAATGCTACATACTCTTCTTTCTTTTTTCGGGCGTTATCGAATGTATGCTAATCTAGGTGAATTTACCTTATTTACCAGTCACATACTTTTATCGTTTCATAGTTTATGGAAGCCAATAGCAGTTGTAAGACGATGTATATGTAAATACCCGATATTGAATATGTGTGTATGTTGATTGATATCGAATGTGTGAATCGTTTTCATAGTTACATGCCACATGCTCTATATCCTTTTCAGATTTTATGGAGTTGTAAGACTTTATCTATACGATATACTAGATTTGATTAGACAGAATTTAGTTGGTCTCGTGTGAATTAATATCTATGCTATTGGTAGGGTAAAAAAAAGCTCTTAGTATAGCAAATACTAGGCACAATTATAGTCTCGAGCTTTGACAATGAATAATTGGTTATTTAATAGGATATGAGGTAAACTGATAGGAAAAAAATAAATGAAATTCAATTTTGCTATGGAGCCATCGAATGACACGATTTATGGAGCCATCTGCGCTTATTCACAAATAGTGTATTGACACGCGTCATGGAACAAAAACACTTTGGACAAGTGTTAATACATTAAGTGATGAATGACTCCACAAGAAAACCATCCGATGGGTCTATAGAATTTATGAAGAATTTTTGAAATGAAATCTCTCAAGTATAGCAACTGCTAGGCACAATTATAGTTTCAAACTTTGACAGTGAAAAATTGGATATTTAATAGGACTTGCTCAATAATAATAGATAGATGCATAAATGGAACTCACTTAGGCCCATAAATTATCACATACTAAAATGATGACATACCAAAATGATTAATGATATAGACTTCGAATTACGAACAAAAAAACAAGGTTCACGCAGAGTCCAAACTCCATACTTCCTAACGACAAAAACTACCAAAAAAAAAAAAAAAAAAAAAAAAAAAAAAAAAAAAAAAAAAAAAAAAAAAAGGCAATTGCATAACTTAAAACTAAAAGGAAAAACAAGCAACACTCCCAACATAAGCAAGAATCATGGCAGTGGGTCCCAGTCCCCAACTGTAAGACTTGGGCTCCCAAGAATGGGCCCTCTGCACGGCAGGAATGACCCAGCAGCTGGCAC